CTTTCTTTTTCTTATTTATCTGCTGAAAAACTCGTGCCTTTGACCTGAAGAATTTCCTATAATCTGGCTTTTGCCTTATCAACATAAAAAACATTGAAACCTGTAAGAATTTTTATGAGTTTGTTGGAGCCAAACTGATGACAATTGCCCGGAAGCAAAATCTCAACAGATTGAGAAAATGCTATGGAAAATAGCAGTTTTACCACTTATTTTATAAAATCAGAGGGGAACACATAAGGTGGTTACACAAATTCATTGGTGATAGATTAGGGAGGTGGGAGAAAGCAAAGCAAAGGAACCTCTGGGATTGGGTGAAAAGTAAAATGAGCAGCCCTGGCCAGGCAGCTCAGTTGGTTGGAGCGTCATCCCGTACACCAAAAAGTTAGAAGCTTGATTCCTGGTTGCAGGCATATGGGAAGAAACTGATTGATGTTTGATGGATGATTGTCTCCCACAGTGATGTCTGTCTCTGTCTATCTATCTCTCTGTCTCTCTCTGGGCAGATAATAGTCAATAATTATTATGATAACAATAACAGGGTGATTTGTGGTCTTCCTTCTGGTGTTGTCCAGAAAAAAGGAAACTACTTTGTTATTCTAAAGGCATGTTATCAGGTATGTTATGCTACATGCAAATAGACTACAGACAGATTCGATTAAGGTAAAGATTGACCTGTGTTAGGGAAAAATACTACCCTGGAATATTACTACCAGTCACAAACAGCTTTTAGTACAAAAGTTTGAATTTCAGACCATCCTATGTGGTTACTTTTTGTCTGAGTTTGCAAGGCCCACTACGCAAGTCTCCCCTGAGTGTGTCAGGTTTAGTATGTGGCCTCTTTTTTATCCACTGCCTCATGCTCAGCTACTGAAGGTGCCTGCTTGTTTCTCTTCCTGAGTTGGCCACTGTTGATGCTTAATACTTATAACCTACTCGTTCACTGGGGATGGCAAAATGGTGATAGCCTGCTTCTATCATTTGTTTTCCTTTATTAGTCCAAATACATTTATTAAAAGGTATTTCACTTCATGTGTTCAGTGGGATGGCTTATCTAGGAAAGGCAGGGTGATGCTCAATTCTTTACCCTTACTTGCCAGTTTGCGAGAAGATGAAGTGGTCCCTTATATCCTCTAAGGATGACAAATTCTTTTTTTTCTTTTTTTAATATCATGAGAACTCATGGATTTAAACATATTTGATGGATTTCGAGCCACTGGAATTATTCTACTTCTTAAAGCTGATGTCACTCCACTTTTGTCCATGGGAACTTCAGGTGAACTCCTGTGCCCTTTTGATGTGACTCTTCACATTTGATAACTTCCTAGCAGTGTCGAGTGACTGCTTTCACGGGTCTTTGTCACATGTGTCCCACTTTCAGACACCTATAAGCCTGATGGAACAAAACTGTACACAGCCTCTGGTTCTACCTACCTAACAAAGAGTTCTAAGAATGTGTAATTTCTGCTTTTGCATCATTACAACTAGTAGGTAGAGATTTACAAACTCGAGGAAGAACATGCTGATGAGTTTGCCAGATTTAGCATGAAAATGATTCTACAGCCTATTCAAGTTACTGGGTGACCATTTTCCTTTCCGCTCTCGTGCTTGCCATCCAGCTCTGTTGAACTACCTGCACTCACACATGCTGCTTATTTAGCCCTTCATCAGTCTGAGCTTAGCCATCATTTCCTTTTGGAAGCTTCCCTACACCTACCGATCTCTCGTGTGTTACCATAGCATTTTGGCTTTCTCTTCTCATAGCACTTATCTTACTGACTACGATTGTCTGTTTAACCATCTGCCCACTTCCTTTGCTACCCACAAGACTGAGTGGCAGGGCCTGTGGCTTGTTCACCTCCATTTCCTCAGTTTCTGCACGGTGTCCAGCATATTAGCAGCGTATTAACAGATAATTGTTGAACAAAAGAGTGAAAACCAGACTTGTTCATGTCATTCTCCTCTTTGCACACCCACTGCTCTTGGTTGACACCTCTACTAGCACCCTCATTACCCTGCGTGGAATCCACCCATTTCATATTTCTAATTCCCTCCTCTTCATGTGTCCCTACCAAAGTGACTTTTGGAAAGTTTGAGGTATCCCAGAGTCCCATTAAAGCTTTCCTTAGCAGGCATGCATGACATTCTTTCATCCCCAAGGCCCCTTCCTTGGGCCTGTGTCATCACAGGGAACACCGGGACTGGTCCTTATTTTCCTGTTTGCCTCAGTCATTGCCAGAAGCCCAGGTTTCCCACGTCCCTCACCCCAGACCCCACAGTGACGCCGGAGCTCCTTTCCTCATGTTTGTTGTCTCCACTCTGTTGAATACTATGTTTTTGCAGCAGGAATTTACTGAGTCATTAATTTTTCTCTCCCTCCTGGATTTACTCCATGAGCATACAAACATGATGTTATTTCTTCCATCTTTTTTTTTAATCCTCACCCAAAGATGTTTTTTTTAATTGATTTTAGAAAGAGAGGGAGGGGGAGGTTAGGATGGAGGGGAGGAGGGAGAGAGAAAGAGAGAGAAACATCGATCAGTCGCCTCCACATGCACCCCCAACCAAGGATCAAACCCACAACATTTTGGTGTACGGGATGACTCTCCAACCAACGAAGCCACCTAGCTGGGCTACTTCTCCCATCTTATAAATAAGAACTAAATCACACTGCTTTGTCCCTCTTCTAAGTGGCCAAACATCTCCTTAGAGCAGTACACTGTCTGTAAAGGCAGAACCAAGCCAGGGCTCACCTGCTGGGCACTGTTTCTGCCTCTCTGTCCCAGCCCAACATGGAGCAACTGCCCACCTTCTGATGGCTGGCCCCTGCTACAGATTCTAAAGGGCTTTTTATTCTGAGGTACAATTGCAGGTCCTTTGTGCCCACTGGCCTTTCCCCTCTTCAGTGCTTTTTCAGATTCTGTCTCAGATCTTATGTTCCGTGGGCAGGGAAGGAGCTGAGAACACTCCAAACGGTGGCCTTTCCGTTTGTTCCCCCTGGCCTCTTGGTCAAAGCTGGTGGGCTTATAAATGTGTCAGGCAAAAATGAAGTTAGAGATATAGGAGACTTCCTGTCCCAGTGGTCACCATGCCTCCTGGCAGAATCCCGCACTTCCTGCTGTCACATATGCCACTGCACAGGAGAGCAAACCACACAGCTATAAATCTCTCCACTTGCTTTTGCCAACTGCAACATTGAGCCTCTCCAATGGAAGAAAGCCCTGCTGTAAGCCCCATCAGCCTCTTACTTTTGTGCTCAATTCTCTCCAGCAGAAAGTAAGCACATGGTATCCATGCAGGCTGGCCAGGTGGCATGCACTGAGCAAAGGCATGCACTGAACCCTATTACTTCACTCCCCGATAATGACACATTCTATAATCATTGAAGAAAGCAGACTTGAAGATGGCATACTTTAATCCCTAAACGTAAAAGATAGGGAACTTGAGGAGAGTCCTCACCTGTTTCTCCCTGCCTTCAGGAGACAGAAGAGAAGTTTACCCATACTGAGGACTTTTTAGAACAGCATGGCTATGGTCACTTGCAAATACCTCTTTCCCCAGGTCTCATCCCCCAAAAAGGTAGCTGTTTATCTGTTGGGATTTGCATATCTTCTTGGTACTGCCAGCAGCAAACATTTTATGTCCAAGGTGAATCAGAAGCTAAGGAGCCTTGTCCTTCTCAGTAGCTCTAGTCTACCATTGTCTCATACATAGCTGGTTTCTTTCTAGCATCATTCTCTTTTCTCTGTTGAGCATAGACCAAGTTTTGCCTGATCATTTTACCTCAAGACTTGACTCTTTCTAAGATCTTTATTGCACTAACAAAGTTCCTTTCGATTGTTACAGTGTTTTCTCAACAGGGAACTGGTAGTTTTAAGCCAGATGATTCCTGCCACCCTAACCCTCCCACCTTAATGATAAACAAAATACAACTATCTTTAGGTGACCTATAGGTCATCTTGATCCCTGATTGAGAAACACTGTGATTGGGGGGAGGGAGAGGAAATGCATGTGTCTTCCATGTTTAAAAAATCATCCCTTGCCCTGGCTGATACAGCTCAGTGAATTGAGCGTAGGCCTGTGAACCAAAGAGTCACCAGTTTAATTCCCAGTCAGGGCACATGCCTGGGTTGCAGGCCAGGTCCCCAGTAGGGGGTGCATGAGAGGCAACCACACATTGATGTTTCTCTCCCTCTCTTTCTCCCTCCCTTCCCCTCTCTCTAAAAAATAAATAAATAAAATCTTTAAAAAATAATCCCTTGACCCCAGAGATCTCCCCTTCACAGTGACTCATCTCTAAAGAATTGGCCACACACCCCTCTCTACTTTTTACCTTCATATTCATCACTGATCCTTTCACCCTCACTGGAATTCAAATCCATTCCTACAGCACCTTAGCTGTGTGATCTTGAGCACATTAGCTAATTTCTCATTTTTTTCATACATAAAATGGACATACAGTAATTTTGTCTCCTATACCATAGTTCTGGCGATTAAATGGGTCATCTCCTCTCCACTGTGTATGATTTTTCTTGTTGAGCAATTTTCCAGAAGTTAAATAGTAATGTTAGATGATACTGACAATGGTGAGCACTAATGATTTGCATCTGATTTTAATGTATGATACTGGCTTTGAAACTGAGATAGACAGTGATAAGAAAGCATTCTTCTTCATTACTAAGGTTTTTTTGAAGATCTGGGTATAAATAAGTTTGTATTATTCTATATACCTGTGCTGCACTGATTGTATAATTCTGGTCCTCCGACCTGTGGGCATGAACCCTATTACTACACTCCCAGATAATGACACATTCTATAATCATTGAAGAAAGCAGACTTGAAGATGGCATACTTTAATCCCAAACAGGGCGGACTTTGCGTTTCATTGTTCAAATAGCTGATTTACTTCTTTTTGCTGTCCTTGCTATGAAATAGGTTTTTAGCAGAGTCTGTAAAGCAAGAGCAATTGGTAGTAACTCCTTGTTGAATTTCTCTCTCCACAGGCCTGGCGCAAGCGCTGGTTTGTCCTCCGGCGGGGCCGCATGAGTGGCAACCCTGACGTCTTGGAGTACTACAGAAACAAACACTCGAGCAAGCCCATTCGTGTGATAGACCTCAGCGAGTGTACAGTGTGGAAGCATTCAGGCCCTGGCTTCGTTCGGAAGGAATTTCAGAATAATTTCGTGTTCATTGTTAAGACTACTTCTCGTACATTCTATCTGGTGGCCAAGACCGAGGAAGAAATGCAGGTGTGGGTATACAGCATCACTCAGGTCTGCAACTTCGGCCACCTGGAGGGTGGTGCAGGTGAGAACAGAGTCATGGTTCCTATGTGCTGAAGGGGGGGCCTGGGATGCAGCACATGCACTGGAGAGCTACTATGGGAAAAACATTCAAGGCAGCAAGCCTACCTCTGAGGGTGTTTTAGCAAGGTAATTTGTATCAGAACTATTCCCCCCACAAATACAGCACCAGAAATTTCTCCCTTTTACCAGGTATTAGACTTCAGGTTTACATGTGGCATGCACTGAACATTATAGGCAACATCAAAAAGGCTTTAAAGCTGTTCTGTGCCTTTGCTGTCATAAGTCACAGAGAATGCATTCGGTGAAAGTAAAACATGGGTGAGGATGTCTCACGGGGCTCTGATTTTTCCCAATGCTGCTACTGCTGATTTTCTAGAAATATTAAATATCACCATCTTTCATTAATTCATGGAACTCCAGCTTTTCTGTTATCTATTGTATTGCTTAGGACTAGGTAGTAGAAAGACAGATCTTGGCTACTTATCATAGAACTTGGCTACTTATCATGAGGCTCATATCTGTAATTGGTTTTAGGTCTCTGCAAAGGAAATTGGGTCCAAGTTTGCTCTGTTCCATTTCTGGGCAGTGGGAGCAAATGAGTCATGAGGCTCTTTCTTTTCCTTCTCTTATTCTCACTGTCCCTTTCTCATACACACACACCGCTCATTCTATATAATAAAGCAGGTATATTGCACCTACAGTTCCAATTCATTCCCCTTCATGGGTTTTGTTGTTGGGCAGAATGCCCTTATCCTCAAACCATGGAGCTTTCCATCTGATCTCTTTTCTTTTTCTAAAAATATTTTATTTATTTATTTTTAGAGAGAGGGGAAGGGAAGGAGAAAGAGTGGGAGAGAAACATCAATGTGTGGTTGCCTCTTATGTGTCCCCTACTGGGCAGCTGGCCTGCAACCCAGGCGTGTGCCCTGACTAGGAATCAAACCGGCAACCCTTTGCTTCACAGGCTTGTGCTCAATCCACTGAGCTACACTAGCCAGGGCTCCATCTGATTTCTTTTTGCCTTGCTCTGGTAGACAAAACCTTACTCCTAAATTTCATGGTCAACAGTTGCTTCAGCATTTCCACTGTTTCCATATGCTTAGCATTGGCCACTGAAATAGCTACATTAAACGCTAGGTGGTGGTGGAGAGTCAGAGTTGCATCTCTATAAACATGTGAGAGAGTGTTTCCTGAGGGCAAAGCTCTTTCTTTTTTTTTTTTTTTAATGAATCAGGGAAGCTTATTAAGTGAAGCTATTCAGTTACATTGTTAAGCTTTGACAGCACTCAAATGAAAGGAAATGAAGTGCTGACGAGTTCTTTACCCTTGCTACAACAGATAAAGTTTATTAGCAAAGTGGCAGTGAAGGCACCCTGGCTGGATTCTCACATGGCAAATGGCCAGAGGTTCCTTGACCAACTCCTCTAGCTTTGCTGCCCACTCTTTGCTACCCTAGTCCCTACCTTTAGCCTAAACTGGATGTGTATTCGTGTATCGTGTTATATGTTTCCTCTGTTTCTTTCCTCATCCAGGAGTTATGTTTCCTCTGTTTCTTTCCTCATCCAGGAGTTATCCTAAGACATAGATACATAACATGTTTCCCAATATTCAAAGAGGAACAGGAATGAGTAAGGCAGCAAGCAGGAAATGGAAAGTTCTGGCATGAAGCTGGAGGAAGCCCGAAACCCCCTATGACCTCTTTTATTCCCTGTATTTCCCCTTAGTTTTTAGAAGGATGTGAGGGCAGAGTCCTCTTCATTGGAGAACCACACCCGAAGGGGTTTCTTGTGGCTTTTCACATATGTTTGGTTCTCTCTACAGCAGCCACAGGTAGTCAGCATACTGTGCAGACTTTGGCCAGGAACTCTGGTAAATGCTTTTGCATATTAGTTCGTCTTATCCCTAGACTGATTCTGTGGTGTGTGTACTACTAGTATTTGCATCTCCACTTTACAAAGAAGGAACCTGGAGCAGAAAGGTAATTTTACCAAGGTCACAACAGTTAGATAATAGAGCCTGAACTTGAACCCAGGCATTTTGGGGCCACTCTGACTCAGGAATTCTGGACTCCTGTCAACTGGGTTCAGAGGGGAAATAAAAGGGGGCTTTTCATTAGGGGTTTCTGAATGTTATGCTCCTTGAGAAATGTGGGCTTTACTAGCCATCACAACACCCCCTTTTTTTCCTTCCTTTTCCTTATACATCATTAACAGTCAATCTTTAACAGTATTCTTTATTTATGTGTTACTTGTCTATCCCTTCTGGTGGACAGTAAGGGCAGAGTCTTTGTCTTGGTTGTATCAGCAGAGTTAGAACAGTTCTGGGCACATAGTAGGTGCAAAGTAGGTATTCTATATACATAGACTTAAGTAGATATCTATATATCCATATACGCAGAAATGCACGTATAAGTACATACATATGTATTTGATATGCATAAATATATGTGTATATATGTATTTGTTGAGTGAATAAACAGTGATGGCAGGGCTGGGGCTGAGTGCCATAAAGAAGCTGTGTATAGACTGTGTAACTGCAGATTTTTATACCAAGGATGTTTTTTTTTTCTTTTTTTAACTCTTAATTGATTCAACACTTCACTCTTAAGAACATTGGCCTTCTTTCCCAGACATTGTTTATAGCTTGGGGAAGTGGTCTCCTCCATCAGTACAAACACCAGCTGTAATTTGCATCTTTTATCTGGCTTCTTTAGATGCTGTTTGAGAAATTGTGAGTGAGTGTTATAGCCATTTTTAAACGTTAACGTGGGAAATGATTTCTCCTGCAGATTCCATGGAGAGCCTCTCTCACACGCCCTGCTCCCTCCAGCCATCCTCTGCCAGCTCTCTTCACACTGCCCATGCTGTCAGCTCCTCCTTGCCAAGAGATGACCCAAGCTCTAGTACTGTAGCCACTGAGGAAACCAGAAGTGAGTCAGAGTTTCCCTTACTTCCTGATTATCTGATTCTGTCCAACTGTGAGACTGGAAGACTGCACCATGCCAGGTATGCTTATGCACCGAACTCCCTCTTAGCCAGGCCTCCTACACACTCTCTCCTCTGTTTGCCTTGCCCACACTGCCTCCTCTCTCAGGGTCTGTCAGTGAGATGTGCTCACTGCGCCTGACCGAATCAGTTCGTTTAGCTGCAGCAGGTTTTAGTGGGTGTATCTGCCCTCACTTCTCTTCCTGCTACTGACAGGGTGGGGACAGATCACTATCAACCACTATGAAGGATGAAGTATGTGATATACTAAACAAAATGAGTCATGTATTTTAGAATTGTGGCTTTCATTTCTAACCTTGCATTTTCATATGAAAAAAAAAATCTACAAGCCATTTTTTTTCCCCTACATCAAGGTGTTGGTGTGACCGAGGGTGGTAGAGGGAATGTGGCTATATAAGTAAAAGAAAAGGTAATATTTGAGGAATGGGAATGAGGCCAGCATGGGTTTTGTGGTGGGCAGATAGCTTTCTTTAGATTTCTGCCAAGGGAGCATCAGCAGTGTCGCTGTGGTACCTACTACAGCTGCCAGGGACCTGCTACTTTCAGTCAAATTTATGTACTTTTCTTCCTTCAGTTTACCCACCAGATGTGACAGCTGGTCAAACTCAGACCGTTCATTGGAACAGACTTCATCTGATGATGTTTTTGTTGATGGCCTGCAGTCGCTGCACTATGTTAACTTGGCCGACCCCTTAACCCGTCAGAATGGATCTCAGGAGGCACCTTACTATGCAAGGCCTCGGGCTTCCCTGATCTGGAATAGAGATAGCAATGGGCCATACAGGGACCACTTTTCTTCACCATTGCTGGAAACTGCCTTAAATTCCACCATTCAGGTAGATACAAACCAAGGTTCTTTACCCTATGGGGCAACAAAACTAGACCTTGTGCCCAATGTGCCACCTCCTCGCCCCCCTAAACCAATCCATCTCTCTGAACGGCGCCAAGAGGAGCGGCTCCTGTGGAGTGGGCACAGCAGTATCAAGAAACCAGAATGCACTACGGCACCAAGAAGAATCTCTCTCTCTGGCTTAGATAACATGAGACCCTGGAGAGGTAAGTGTTGGCTGCTAATATTCAGGTACAGGGAGAAGCCTGGCTCCTCTTAACAATTTGGGTCCCTGTGGCTGCTGAAAGAAGTCAGAGCCCTGGTCTCTTAGGCATGCCCCTGCCCATGTGATGGCCTCCCCACCTGAGACTAGGCTCCAGGTGTTTGTATGGAGTCACTCTAGCACCCACTTGGTATGGAAGGGGATGTCTTTCATGTCAGTTCTGCGTGATTCCATTCTTTGCCTCTCACAAGTGCACTCTGAGACAACAGAACAGCTCTTTTATTTTCAGTGATCCCATCAGCTTCATTCACCATCCCACCTGATGTGGTTTTTCAAAATTCTAACTGGTTATACATCAACATAATGGTAATCTAGCCTATCAGCTTGGTCCATCGGCATGCCCTCCTGGAACCATCTTTTGCTTTTTTTCTGTAAAACTCTTCATTTTCATGGGGCTCTCTCTCTCTCTGCCCCCCCCGCTTCCCTCACTCCCCCCACTCCCTCCACTCTCCTTTTCTCCCTCTCTCTTCATCCAAATACAATCACTTCTACCTACACTGATACCTATGAGGCTACATTTTAATGGAATTATAGAAATTTAAGGAACACAGACTCACTTCAAATTGTATATGTTTCTCATTCTGACTGAGGAACTGAGTTATTGGCAAGGACCTCCCCCAATACCTCTAGTGATGTAAACATTGCACATGTTCCTTCTTTCTGATAACCTCAGTGAATGTGAGTATATGCTGATTACCCAGAAGGTCAAAGGTTAGTACCTTAAAGTGCTAACATGTGAGCAGTAGACAAAAAAGGGAAAATGAAAAGTAGGTAAAGCAACCTCTGGAGAGTGAAATAAATCAAACCAGTAGAATAATAGAATATGAAAATAAGTCTCAAACAAAAAATGGATTCTGTGAAGCGGAGGGAACACATAGTGATTGTTCTGCCTTCCATATTGACACTCACCTGGATTCAGTGTTTGTGACTGGTGGCAGAGTGGGGTCAAGGTTCATTATTGGGGAGGATTGCATCATATCTGTAGATCATCCTGTGAAGATTTGCCATCCTTGCAATGTTGAGGTTTTCCAGTCGTGAACAGGCAATAGCCTTCCATTTATATACAGGCCTCGCTTTATAATAGAATCACTGCTGTGTTAGCAATAGACTGAAGGAAGCAAGTACAGAAGCAGGCAAACCAGTTAGAAAATAAGTATAGTAATCCAAGCAAACTATAACGGTAACTGAGAGTAGGATAGTAGCCAGTAGCTTTTGAATTTGTTAAAAAGCAATTGGATGCTTGATAGATCTTGAAGACAGAACCTCAGTCATGGGATGTGCAGTAGAGAAAGCATGGAGTCAGTGTTGACTTCATGGCTTTTGGCCAAAGAAACTGAGATTGGGAACGAGGGACAAGGGGAGCAAGTTGGAAGATGGGGTAGAGGTCAGAAAGCTGTGTTTGGATATGTTGAGTTTGAGATGCCTGCTAGATACCCTAATGGAAATGTCAAGTACGTTGTTAGAAATGTGAACCTGGAGGTCAATGAGAGGCCTGAGCTGGAACTGTGAATCTGGGAGTCGTCAGTGTATAGATAGTAAATACAAGGGACCAGATGAGGTCACCAAGAAAGTGAATACAGGGAAGAGAAAAGAACCAAGGACTCAGCTCAGCCTAGAGTCCTATAATGTTTGGAAATCATGGGCAGAAGGATTCAATAGCAAAAAAAACCTCTGCAGTTATTAGTGAGATAGCAGGAAATCCAGCAGAGTGAGATTCTGGTAGAGACTCATTCTCCAGGTGTCTGTCTCAGGAGTGTGGATGTGAATCCATTCTTGGTGCCTTTCTTTAGTCTGAACCCATTGTTATTCTATCATAAAGTCCTTAAGCTATCTGATGTCGATGCCAGGTTTTCTTTTCTTTTTTTTTTTTTTTTCTTTTCAATGTACGGTTGCCTTTCATGCATCCCCTGCTGGGAACTGACCTGCAGGGAACCGGCCTGCAACCCAGGCATGTGCCCTGACTGGGAATCGAACCGCGATTGTCCGGTTCGCAGTCCCGTGCTCAATCCACTGAGCTACACCAGCCAGGGCCCCAGGTTTTCTTTATATTCATGTTATTTGGTGACAGCACTAGGGATCTGATAATGGAAAGGGAGATTGGGGACTGTGTTCAAATACACAAGTCCCATATGCTTTACTAACAATATCCATAATGATTTCTCTTTTCTTTTTTTAAAGATTTTATTTGTTTATCTTTAGAGAGGAAGGGAAGGAGAGAAGGAGAGAAACATCAATGTATGGTTGCCTCTCGTGAGTCCCCTGCCGGGAACTGGCCTGCAACCCAGGCATGTGCCCTGACTGGAAATCGAACAGTAATCGTGTGGTTTGCAGGCCTGCGCTCAATCCACTGAGCTATGCCAGCCAGGGCCCATAATGATTTCTAAATTTAAGTACTTTACATGTTCCAGGCACTGTACTAAATCCTTTACATGCATTAATGCATCTAACATCTCCAGCAGTCATGACAAAAAATCTGCTACTGGTCTTATTTTATACATTAGGAAATTGAGACACAGCGTAGGTAACATGTTCAGAGTCACACAGCTTAATCAGTGGTGGAGTAGGGACTTAAAACTAGACAGTGTGGCTCCAGAGCAGCTAAAAGCTGCCTTCAGCAGCTTTGAGATATAGAAGAACTTCAGCAGCCTTTGAGATATAGAAGCATAGATATGTATATCAATACATATACATATATGCATATATATAATACATATTCTTACAATTCTCCTATTACCTATACTCCCACCCCCAGCGATCATCACCTCGTCCATATCAATGAGTCCATTTTCTTTTGGCTCCAATCCCTCCACCCTCCACCCTCCTCCCCACACTAGCTGTCTTCTATTCTTCACCTATGAGTCTGTCTCTGTTTTGCTTGTTAGTTCCCTTTTCTCATTAGATTCCACATATGAGTGAAATTACATGGAATTTCTCTCTGACTGGCTTATTTCATTTAGCATAATGTCCTTCAGGTCCATCCATGCTGTTTGTTGCATGGGGTAAAATTTTCTTTTTTATGGCCAAGTAGAATTCCATTGTGTAAGTGTCCTGTAGTTGTTTTACCCACTCATCTGTTGATAAACACAGGCTGCTTCCATGTCTTGGCTGTTTTAAATAATGCTGTAGTGAACACAGGGGTGCTTATGTTCTTTCAAATTAGTGTTTTGGGTTTCTTTGGATATATTTGCAGAACTGGGATTGCTTGGTAAAAAGGCAGATCAATTTTCAATTTTTTGAGGTAGCTCCATACTACTCTCCACAGTGGCTGCATCAGTCTGCATTCCCATCAATAGTGCACAAGGGTTCCCTTTTCTCCACATTCTCACCAACACTTATTTGTTGATTTATTTATGGCCATTCTGACAGGTGTGAGATGGTTATCTCACTGTGCTTTTAATTTGTATTTCTCTGATGAGTGCTGACATTTAGCATCTTTTCATATGTCTATTGGCCATTTGTATGTCCTCTTTGGAGAACTGTCTATTCAGGTCCTTTGCCCATTTTTTTAAAATATTTTATTTATTTATCTTTAGAGGGGAAGGGAAGGAGAGAGGGAGAGAAACATCAATGTGTGGTTGCCTCTTATGTGTCCCCTGCTGGGAACTGGCCTGCAACCCAGGCGTGTGCCCTGACTGGGAATTGAACCACGATCCTTTGTTTCACAGGCCCGCGCTCAATCCACTGAGCTACACCAGCCAGGGCCCTTTGCCCATTTTTTAATTGGGCTGTTAGTTTATTTTTGGTGTTGAATTTTGTTAGTACTTCATAAATTTTGGATATTAATTCCTTATCAGATGTATCAGCAAGTATATTCTCCCATTCCATGGGTTGTCTTTTTATTTTGGTGATGATTCCTTTGCTGTGCAAAACCTTTTTACTTTGATGAAGTCCCAATTGTTTATTTTTTATTTTGTTTCTCTTGCCTGGGGAGATGTATGTGATAAAAATATTCATTTTATACTATATTTTATTCATTATGCTATTACAGTTGTCCATTTTTTCTCCCCTTTATCCCCTCTCTGCCTTGCACCCTCCCTCCTACCAGCATTACCCTCCCCTTAGTTTACGTCCATGAGTCTCGCACATAAAAGTTCCTTTGGCTTCTCCATTTCTCATACTATTCTTAACCTCCCCCTGTCTCTTTTGTACCTACCATTTATGCTTCTTATTCCCTCTACCTTCCCTCCATTCTCCCCCTTCCCCTCCCCCAGTGATAACCCTCCATGTGATCTTGATTTCTGTTATTCCGTTCCTGTTCTAATTGTTTGCTTGGTTTGTTTTTGTTTTAGGTTCAGTTGTTGATAGTTGTGAGTTTGTTGTCATTTTACTGTTCTTAGTTTTTATCTTCTTTTTCTTAGATAAGTCTCTTTAACATTTCATATAATAAGGGCTTGGTGATGACGAACTGCTTTAACTTGACCTTATCTGAGAAGCACTTTATCTGCCCTTCCATTCTAAATGATCTTTGCCAGATAGAGCAATCTTGGATGTAGGTCCTTGTCTTTCATGACTTGGAATATTTCTTTCCAGCCCTTTCTTGCCTGTAAGGTTTCTTTAGAGAAATCAGCTGATAGAATTATGAGAACTCCTTTTTAGGTAATTGTCTCCTTTTCTTTTGCTGTTTTTATGATTCTCTACTTTTAGCTCTGGCTGGTGTGGCTCAGTGGATTGAGTTCTGGCCTGTGAACCGAGGGGTCACTGGTGTTATTCCCAGTCGCCACATGCCTGGGTTGTGGGCCAGGTCCCCAGTAGGGGGTATGCAAGAGGCAACCACACACTGATGTTTCTTCTACTTTTTCTCCCTGCTTTCCCCTCTGTCTACAAATAAATAAATTAAAATCTTTTAAAAAAATGTTCTCTTGTTATCTTTAATCCTGGTTAATTTAATTACAATGTCTTCATATGTTCCTCCTTGGGTCCAATTTCTTTGGGACTTGGAGCTTCCTGGACTTTCAGGAATTTTATTTACTTTGTGAGATTTCAGAAATTTTCTTTCATTATTTTTTCAAATACATTTTAAATTTCTTGCTTTTCCTCCTCTCCTTCTGGCACCCCTATGATTTGGATGTTGGAATATTTAACATGGTCCCAGGGGTTCATATGCCTCTTCTCAGTTTTTTGAATTCCTGTTTCTTCATTCTGTTCTGGTTGAATGTTCCTTTCTTCCTTTTTTTCCAAATCATTGATTTTAGTTCTGGTTTCCTTCCCTTCACTGTTGATTCCCTGTATATTTTTCTTTATTTCACTTTGCATAGCCTTCACTTCTTTCTCTGTTTTGCAACCATAGTCAATCATTTCTGAGTGTCCTCATTATTAGTGTTTTGAACTCTGCATCTGATAGGGTGGCTGTCTCCTTGCTGCTTAGTTCTTTTTGTGAAGTTTGGATCTGTTCTTTCATTTGGACCATATTTCTTTATCTCAGCCCACCTGTTACATTGTAGGGGGTGAACCCTTAGTTATTTGCCAGAGTGGGGCAACCCAGGCTGCTTTGTTGTGGCACTGTATGTGGGGGAGGGTTCAGAGAGGGAACAATGCCACTTGCTCAGCTCTCGCCCCACCTTCAGTCACTTCTCCCACTTCCTACAAGTAAATTAATTCCTTTTGGTGCTTCTTCCCAGGTGGGTAGGTTTGTGTACCTTCTAGGACCCTGTGCAACTCTCCAGCAATCTCTCCTGTGAGGCTGAGAGTTTCTCCCACAGCTGCAACCCTCACAGATGTTTATAGCCAGGGGTTTTAAGGCTTTAGTTTCCCATCCTGGAACCCTGGGTTGTGAGATCTATCTCGCTCCCCAGTTGTTCCTACGGGCTTATCCGCATGCAAATGTAGGACCACCTAGTTTACTAGCCACCACCCTCCTGTCCACCTCCTGTGCCCAGCCAGTAGCTTTGCCTTGGCGTCCTCTCCACCCTAGCTGCCCATCTCCACCCCTCCTACCAGTCTAGGTAAATGTTTCTTCTTTAAGTCCTTTGTTGTCAGACTTTCATACAGTTCAATTTTCTGGCAGTTCTGGTCATTTTTTATTCTTGAATCGGTTGTTTTCCTTCTTTTGGTTGAGGAAGCAAAGCGTATCTACCTATGGTTCCATTCTGGCCAGAAGTCTAAGTCGATGATGTTGAGTGTTTAGTTTATTTTTCAGAGACAGCCAGACTTTTGACATCCAATTTCATGGGGGACATTTTGCTGTGGTCCCCACTTGCTAAAAGAACTTACCTCACTTGTCAATAGCAGTCTCCATTGTTGGCCCTCTCTCCTTCCTTAGTTAAAATGCACCGTGCCCTGTGGGTTTCCTCCTTACTGTATGTTTGCACTCTGAGGATGAGCCAGTGCTCATCTTCCTGCTCTTTGAATATTGGGATTCCCTAGGTTTTATACTTAAACTTCTCTCAACTCTTGCAATCTAGATAATCTCATCTGCTCCTATAGTTTTTAGTGTCATCCTTAAGCTGCCAATTCCCCCAAATTATATCTGACTGGAATGTAGAGTGCTATATCTTGCTGCCTTACAGACATCTCCTCTCTCTTTTTTATTTATTTTTATTTTGTATAGTTGTAAAACATTTTAATATTTTTTATTAAATAATGGTGATGGTACGAGTTTGGGTTTTGTCTTTAATGTTCTTCCTTAGCTCAATAAAAGTCAGAAACCCCATGTTGACCACTAACTTCATTTTTTATGAACATCTCTTTCAATCCAACTCTTAATTCTAAATGTTTATGTCAACACTGTTTGTCACATGTAGCTGACAGGTTTCTAATCCTATCTTAATTCACCTTTTCTCTGTCTCCATGCCTGTACCTGAGTAGCTGACTATTGTTGCAGAAAATCACAGTCACCAATTCATGGCCACGGATCTCAAATGGGCCTTCAATGCTGCTCGGCAATGCTGTCACTTCTGTGTTCACCCTGTCCTCCTGATCATCACAGGGGATGTCTCACACCTTCTGTCTTCTCAAACCTCCAATTCTATCTCCACCATCTCTAAGCTCAGAAAATTCATGTAATAAATGCAACGAATACTTGTTAATTACTTGCTATATTTTTTAGAGAAAACTAAAGCTATCATATAGAAACTTCTTCAAAATGCGGTCTGATTTCCATCTATTCTGACTGCCCAACTAGACTTAATAGCTAGTCTTGCGTATAGAAACTGCGTTGTGTTTCTCTGCCTCTCCAGAGCAGCGGGTAGAGCCCTTAGGGGCATAGGATCTCGTACCCTAGTCTAAATTGATGTAGCCCTGTATTTATCACCATCCCATCTTGTTTCTTCCAGCTGATGTAGAAGGCCAATCCTTAAGACAGCGAGACAAGCGGCATAGTTTAAATTTGGTGAGTTTGGCATTTGAGTTCCTTGAAGCCACAATTTTAACCAAAAAATAGCCTGACCTATATACATTCTCATGAAGTCTGACTATCTGTGGACCATTGCAGTCTCCCCTTAAGGTTTGTACTTATCTGGGAACTACTGGACTTAATAAGTAGCATTCTATAAGGATGCTGCCAGTTCTAATAGTCTAGACACTTGTCTGACTTGGGGGTAGCTACTGAAGGCCTCACTTTGTATTTGAAGCATTTGCATCAGTTCATAATCTTTTGTCTTCCAGCCTGAGATCAAGGAAGGTTGTCACATACCTCACAAATTAAGTCCAGAGGCAGAGCTTGAGTAAGAGGCTCGTCTGACTTTCCTAAGGAAGCTCAGAGCTGTTCTTGGATAATTTGCAACTGAAATCGTATATGTAGGCAAGGCTGCCTACTGGTAGCAGTTTCCATGACTGTTCTATGGTTCCCAACCCATACTTGTTCTCTTGCAGCCATGCAGATTCTCTCCAATGTGCCCCACAGCTTCAACCAGTGATGAAGACAGCTATGTGCCTATGGCCCCACTGGGAGCCATCTCTTGTCTCAAAACCGAGTCCAACTCTGATGACTACATCCCAATGAGCTCAGGAAGCTTCTCCAGCCCACTGCCTGAGCTACCTGCAAACCTGGAACCTCCCCCAGTAAATAGAGATCTCAAGCCTCAGAGGAAACGTAAGCCATTTGACCAGACCAGCTATGTAGGAGAAGGGAGCAGCCATGTGGATAAGTTTCCTTCCTGACCCTCTCTGGGAAAGAAACACTAGAAAAACCATCCTAGAGGGCTGGGAGGTTTAAGGGTGAAGAGAAAGAGCTAGAATTGAATGGGTAGGGCTGGGGAACCTTGCTGCCCCAGATTATCATGTTAAAAGGAGTCAGGGGACTTTCAGGTACCATAGCCCCGCAAATACAGCCCACAAAAGCCTAGTTCATTCTAGAGGGCTCATCTTCACCTGCTTTCCAGTCAAAGGCTCAGAAATAAGTGTTGATGGATTGGAATGGAACATACCTGACATTTCTTCATTTAAGCAGCACTTGAATATAATTACAGTGCCCTCTTCCTATAAGGAAGTCAAGAGTGACCTTTGACACTAATTTCTGAATGTCAGACTTATCACTCAGTGCCCTGTGCATGCCTGTCAGGTGAGGTGTTTCAGATGGGAGAAGACTTTGGCAGTTAACAACATAGCTCCTATGTGCACAGAGTTCCTTAAAGCTTCTGCACTGCTCCCAGGCAGCTTCTCTGGATCTGTTAAGCAGCATGAACAAGCAGGGAGAAAGGAGAGGAGGGAAAGAGGACAATCAGATCAAAGTAACTTTCTCACTTCATTTTTGCCCACCATCATCTGCCCAGTGAGGCTACATGATTCCAAGGAAGTATTTGGTATAAGGAATGTGATCTATGACCCCCACCTCTGGTACATTCCCTCTTCTCTTTGCCCTTTGGAAAAATTACTTCTTCAGGTGACCATGCCCAAAGCTAGTAACTCAGTCCCTTACTCATGTCTGGTCCATTCTAGTCTCACCTGTTCAATTTGAGTCAAATCACATTTATAGTATGTTTGCCATTTGCCATGTGTGTAGTACTGTTTTAGGCACTGGGTAGGATGCAAAGATGATAAAGCAAGGAGGGTTCTTCAGTTTGAGAGGAAAAAAATATATAAAAAATATCTAGAAGAAGAATTACGAAGTCTATGTGAAATAGGAGAACAGACCCTGTATTATGAGGTTAAGAGGAAATAACCATTCATTCTGGTCAGAAACAGTTTAATAGGGACCTATGACTTTGAGACAGATATCGTTCTGTTCAGTTAAATTTCTATAGCAATGCTGTGAAACAGAACTTTTTGTGATGATAGAAATGTAAATATTGAACATTTGAAAGGTGGCTAGTGCAACTGAGAAACTGAATTTGAAATTTTATTTCATTTTAATAAATTTAAATTTAAATAGCCACATGTGGCTTGTGCCTACCACATTGGACAGTGCAGCTCTATAGGACCTGGTGATTGGAGGCATGAAAATGTTGAATGGACTTGAGATTAGAGATTCATTGGGTGGGTGTGAAGGTCCATACTTGGGCCAGGAGATGCCGATTTTTTTGACAGGTGTGGGTGTAGGGACAGATCCTGGGGCCCAACAGGGAGAGGGAAGATGGCGAAGTTAGGAGGTGACTGGTTGGTGTCATACAGCCAGGAGAGACCTTCTCCCCAGACACTATATGACTTACATGTCCTTTACAGATCACCTCCTTGCTCATGTGTGAGGCTCCTGGGAAGTGGATTGAGCAACAGGAAAGTCACTATACTAGCTAGGCTCTGGTGATATGGAGGGGAGTTATAAACAGTCTCTACCCACCTCTACCCATGTAGTCTAGTGGAAGAAAAATACAAAAGCAACCTGATAATAGGAATGCATGCATGACCAGCTCAGCGAGTTGGGCTATCGAAGTGGAATTAGGGTCAGGTGCCAAGTGCTTCTCTAGAGGCCAAAGCTGTCGCAGTGAACAAATCAGAAGAACCCCTGTCCTCTCAGAGCACATAAGTCTAGATCTGAATCAGATAATCACAGATGAATGTATGTATCATCACAAACTGAGGGAGTGCTATAAAAGGTAAGTACAGGAACTCATGAGAGCCCATGATGTGGAACCCAACCTTGTCTGAAGGTCAAAGAAGGCCTTCCTAAGCAGGGGACATTGAGCTGAGATCCAAAGATGACTACCCAGGTAGAGAAATGGAGAATGATATTCTAGGCTGAAAGACCATCAGCTAGACAATGAACTAGAGGTGGGCAAGACTAGGACCTGGGTGATAAAAGTAAAGTTTCAGTTCTGGATATGTCAAGTATGAAGTAGACATTGGTATTCCACAAAGTCAGAGACTTTCATCTGTTCTATTTATACTCTGTCTCTAGCACCTAGAACCATACCTGATACATAATGAGTTTTATAATTGTATGTTGACTAAATATATTGCCTTATCATTACCTCCAGCTGGTAATGTGACCATTTGCTCAGTAGTTGCCCTGTCCCTACTACCAGGGAGTCAGGAAAGAGTGAAATTTACACTCATCGTCAGTGCTGCTTATTAGTAAATTTGGATTTGATGTGCTAGGTAAGTGGAATGTCATAGTTTTACAGTCTTTGGATTCTGGCTTTGAACTGCTGAGAACTCACCCTACTGGATATTGTGTGTTATCTTGTAGCGCGGTCACCTCCCCTAGACCCAAGAAACCTTTCTACCATCCGGGAACACGCATCTCTAACCAGGACCCATACTGCGCCTTGGTAAGTCTCTGCTTGCTCAAAGGGTCCCCATCCAGCGCAGATACTCTGTCTTAGTTAAGTCTCTTTGATGAAATATATTTGAAGCCCACTTGATTTAGTTTAAGCAAAAGAAGGGACAAGGTTTATGATCACAAGAGGAAGGAATATAACTGGACCTCCCAAAATACCAGAATTAGGAAGGAGAGTGCCATTGGAAAGCCAGGGAATCTCTCTTCATCTCTCATGTCTACTCTCTTCCCATTTGCTCATTCCTCTTTCTTTGGAGAACTCTTCTTTGTTGCTCAATCCTCATGGTCAAAAATAGCTGTACCATAGAGCCTGAGCTTATGTACATGATACAATTCTAGTATCAGTGAAGACAGGCTCTTTTTCGATCCACATTCATGATTCTTGGGAGAGGGAATTGTATTGCCCCAACATGAGTGGAATGAGCTGTGGCCCAAAGGAGGGCCAGTAGTACCAACATGGCTTCAAGAAAATCAACTTTGTGAACAGAGTAGGTGAAGGGCATTCTCAGAGAAAGGAGAATGGTTCCTGGGCTTGCTGGACAGTCCCCAAAATGTATTTGCATCCTCTCATCTCACCTTTTAGATGTTGCATTTTCAGAGTCCCGAGCTTCACCCAGGAGTTTTCTTGATTCACTCTAAATGCCACAGGACACAATCATTTTGTAAAGCAGAATTCTGCAATGAGCTCTAATTTACAGCTTCTGACTCAAGAGAAGGATGAAAGGTGATTTGCAGTCTTGTCCTCATTCCATCAGAGGACTGGCCATACTTCTTTACTTTCCCTGGTTACTTTGAATGGAAACAAGAGAGCCCCAAGGGAGTGGGTATTTTTCCAAAATGATCTGAAGCTTTGGTCTGTTTCTAGAAAGCTCATGAGCTGTGTCACATGGAAGGCCTGGAAAAAAGTAGCCTTTGAGAACTGGGAGTCACTTGCGCCAGAGTAGGACAGAAGCTGCTGGACAGTCTCTACTGCTTTAAGAATCGCTTTGGCCGGAAGGAAGTTGTATCTGGAAGGGGAGGGCTGAAACCCCACAGGGCCCATGTCAGTTCCTGGCTGACTTTCAGAGCAGCTGTAAGACATTGCTTTGACCTCATCTATATTTTTGTTCTTAGCAATCGGACGAGCTTTCTCTCTCCAGAAAGAAATGGTATTAATTCTGCAAGATTTTTTGCCAGTTCTGTTTCCAGAGAAGAGAAAGAAAGCAACACTCAAATGGTAATCCTATATTTTTCATACTCTTCTTATTCTTCACCTGAATGTATATTCTTAGTTCATTATAAAGGAAACATACTTTAGAAATGCCCGTACAACCTTAAAACACGATCACTTGCTTGCGATATCAGGTTACAGTGTTTTCTAGACTGTGAACAAATGGATTTGAAGATGAGTTTTATTTCCTGCATTGGTACAAGGAATTGAGTTCCTTGTACCATTCTGAGGCCATAGTATTTCAACAGTTCTCAGGGTATAGGCATGTATAATGGGAAAATGGCAGTGTCAGCACTTTTCACCAGGGATTTGATATTCTGTTTGACCCCAATAGGTTTGGAGTTCCCTGGATGTCCAGTGTCTAAGCTGTTAAAACCCACACATTGGATGGTTCCTTCCACCAGACCACTTGGTGGCCCTGCCCTAACTGCCTCTGAGCCTTTCTGCAGGATGAGTCACTTAGAGTCCCATTGAATGGGGTGTACAGTGCCTTGGGCTTCGGCTATGCCTTAGTCTCCGAAGATTCCTGTTACAGGGTCATCCTGTAGACCTGAGTGAATAGATACCTGACATTTCTATTCTTTGATTAACCATTTACGGTTCTAGTCCTAATTTTCCCCTTCCTGCCCTCTCATGTACCTTCTGTTCTCTTTACCTTGGATTCTATTTGAGAGCATGGGTTCTGAAAAAGACAAAGGGGCTTTTTAGCACCTCTGGGAATTATCAGGCATTTGGTCAGAACCATACGCATTCTGCAATGTTAAAATGTAGGAACTTTGGACATAATTCTCCAGAGAGAATTGCTGTTTAAACTATGAAATTTTGAAAAGGGATCTTAGAAGGACAATATTCAAGGCAATGTTCAAGGCTATATATATTTTTATTGTTGTTCTATTGCAATTGTCCCAATTTCCCACATGCTTCTTCCCTGCCCCACCCAACCTCACTTACATATACTTTAGAGAAGACAATTCTTCCCTCCTATACATGAGGAAAAAGGCAATTCAAAAACAAAGCAGTAATCTCCAATAAAGCAGTAATTAAATGCTTTATTTTGCCTATTTGATAAAAATCTCTGTGAGTGCACTTAACCATATGCAGATGGAAAGTGACTCATATACAAATCTGCTGTGATCTTTCCAATGTTTTTCACACTTACTAATGGCCCTTGGGAAACTTGTGGAAGAAAACATTCTTATAAATGATGCTTGACCAGCTGTGCTCTGTCTCCAGAGAACAGAAAAGGGAAGCGAATGTATAACGTAATAGAAGCAAGTGCATAGTCATTCCAGACACTAGCCCTTCATTCATTTATGATCTTTGAGCTTGTGATAAAGACCAGTGATCCCCTGGTAACCTCTGTTCTGCTTTCTGTCTTCATAAATTTACCTATTATAGGTACCTCACATAAGTGGAATCATACAATGTTGGGCCTTTTGTGTCTGCCTTCTTTCAGTTAAGCTCAGTGTTTTCAACATTCATCCACATTGTAGCATATATCAGAATTTCATTTTTAAAAAAGATTTTATTTATTTTTAGAAAGAGGGAAAGGGAGGTAGAAAGAGAGGGAGAGAAACATTGATGTGACAGAGGAATGTTGATCAGTTGCCTTTTGCACGCCACCAACAAGGGACCTGCCCCACACACAGTCCAGGCATGTGCTCTGAGTGGGAATCAAAACAGTGACATTTCATTTTGCAGGACAATGCCCAGCCCACAGAGCCACACCAGTCAGGGCAGAATTTCATTTTTTTAAGGCTAATACTCCGTTGTATATACATATCGCCTTTTCTTTTATCTATTTGTCTGTTGGTGGACATTTGGGTTGTTTCTAACTATTGCCTATTGTGAATAATGCTACTATCAACATTGGTGAAAAGTATCTGTTTGAATCTTTGCTTTCAATTCTTTCAGATAATACCTAGAAGTGGAATTGCTGGATCACATGGTAATTTGTTTAACTTTTGAGGAACCACCAAACTGTTTTCCAGTGACCAGACCATTTTATATTCCCAACAGCAATGCAGAATGGTTCCAGTTTCTCTATATTCTCACTGACACTTGTTATTTCCCATTTTTTGTTTGTTTTGTGTAATAGCTACCTTACTATGTGTGAAGTGGTATCTCATTGTGGTTTTCTTTTGCATTTCCCTAATGGCTAGTGATGTTAAGCATCTTTTCATATGCTTAATGGCCATTTGTGTATTTTCTTTGGAGAAAGGTCTAATCAAGTCCTTCACCCATTTTTGAATTGGGTTGCTTGTTTTTATTGTTGAGTTATATACATTTTAAAAAATATATGGATATTAGCATCTTATCAGATGATTTGCAAATATTTCCCCCATTCTTTGGGTTCTCTTTTTCACTCTCTTAATAGCACCCTTATATGCAGAAATGTTTTTTTAATTGATTCCAGAAAGAGGAGAAAGGAGAGAGAGAGAAAGAAAGAGAAAAACTTTGATATGAGAGAGAAACATTGATAGATTGTCTCTTGCATGTGCCCTGGCTGGGAACCTAAACCACAGCCCAGCCATGTAGGTGCCCTCACTGGGAATTGAACCAGTGACCTTTTGGTTTGCAGGATGACACCCAACCAACTGAGCCATACTGGCTAGAGCTACACAAAAGCTTTTAATTTTGATGAAGTCAATTATTTTCTCTTATTACCTATGATTTTCATGTTATATCCAATAAATCATTGCCAAATTCAATGTCATGAAGTATATGTTTTCTTCTAACAGTTTTAGAGTTTTAGCTTTTATGTTTAGGTCTTTGATTCTCTTTTGAGTTAATTTTTGTATATGATCTAAGGTTAGGGTCCAGCTTCATTCTTTTGCATATGCATATCCAGTGTTCCCTACATTATTTGTAGGAAAGATTGCCCTTTCTCCACTGGTCTTGGTACCTTCATTGAAAATCAATGGACCATAATTGTGAAGGTTATTTCTGGATACTTTTATTCTCTTCCATTGGTCTATATGTCTGTCCTGCCTCCACTATGACACCGTTTTGATTACTATAGCTTTATAGCAACTTTTGAAATCAGGAACTGTGAGTCCTTCAACTTTGTTCTTCCTTTACACGATTGATTTGGCTATTCAGGGTTATTTGAGATTCCACATAAATTTTAGGATGAGTTTTTCTATTTCTGCACAAAATGTCATTGGGATTTTGATAAAGGACGCTTTGAATCTGTGGATTGCTTTGGTTAATGTTGTAATGTCTTTTAAAAATATATTTTATTGCTTATGATATTATAGTTGTCCTAATTTTCCCCCCTTGACCCCCCTCCACCTGGTATACCCATTCCTTCCAGCAATCCCCCCACCTTAGTTCATACCCTACATGGGTCATGTAGATAAGCTCTTTAGTTTCTCTATTTCCAATACTGTTCTTAACAACCCCCAGTCTGTTTTGTACCTACCAATTTGTGCTTCTTAATCCCAGCACCTTTTACCCTATTCTCCCCCCAACTGATAACCCTCCCAATTATCTCCATATCTATGATTCTGTTCCTGTTCTACATGTTATGCCCAGTCTGTTTGTGAGATTCAGTTGTTGATAGTTGTGAATTTATTGGCATTTTAATGTTCATAGTTTTGATCGTCTTCTTTTTCTTATATAATTTCCTTTAACATTTCATGTAATAAAGGCTTGGTGATGATGAACTCCTTTAGCTTTAACTTATCTTGGAAGCATTTTATTTGCCCTTCTATTCTAAAAGATAGCTTTGTTGGATAGAGTATCTTAGTTGTAGGTCCTTGCTTTTCATCACTTTGAATACTTCTTGCCAGTCCCTTTTAGTCTGCATAGTTTCTTTTGAGAAATCAGCTGACAGTCTTGTGGGAACGCTTTTGTAGGTAACTATCAGCTTTTCTCTTGTTGCTTTTGAGATGCTTGTTGCTGTTGCTAAAGGTTATCTTTAACCTTTGACATTTTAATTATGGTGTGTCTTGGTATGGTCCTCATTGAGTCCATCTTGTTTGGGACTCTGTGCTTCCTGGACTTATATATCTATTTCCTTTATCAAATTAGGAAAGTTTTCTTTCACTATTTTTTCAAATAAGTTTCAGTTTCTTGCTCTTCTTCTTTTCCTTCTGGCACCCCTATGCTTCAGATACTAGTACTCCTGAAAATGTCCCAGAAGCTCCTTTGTCTATCCTCATGTTTTTGGATTCTTTTTTCTTCTTGCTGTTGTAATTGAATGCTTTTTTATCTTCCTTATGTTCTAAATCATTGATTTGATTCTCAGCTTCATCCCCTCCACTGTTGGTTCCCTGCAGATTTTTCTTTATTTCACTTAATGTAACCTTCATTTCTGCCTGGGTCTTTTTTATGCTGTTACAGTACCTAATGAGTTCCTGGAACATCCTTATAACCAGTGTTTTGAACTCTGCATCTGACAGGTTGCGTATCTTCATTTTGTTCAGTTCTTTTTTTGGAGTCTTGTTCTGGTCTTTCATTTGGCCATATTTCTTTGTCTCCTCAATTTGACAGTCTCCCTGTGTTTGTTTCTGTATATTAGGTAGAGTTGCTTTAACTTCCTGTCTTAGTAGCTAGGTCTGTTGTACAAAGCACAACTGTGAGTAGTATGGGGTGGAGCCTCAGGTAATCGCCAGGGCGAGGTGACCCATGTTGCTGCTGTATGGCTGGCTGTGTGTGAGAGAGGGCTCAGTGAGGGGACAATATTGCTGCCTTGCCTCTGGAACTTTGCTCACGAGGATGCCATCTCCCAGCACTCACCCTTATGCCAGTCACCTCAATTTCTTCTCATATACCACTGGTGCCCTTCCAGCTGTTACGCTCCTGGTGCTGAATCCCAGAGGGGGGGTCTATTTAAGTCCCAAATCTGTTGTGGGCCCTTTAAGAGGAGTCTTCTGTGAATCCTGTTGTTTCTTTTGCCACCCCAAACCCTACTGGTTTTACAGCCAGAAGTTATGGGCACTTAACTTTCTGGTGCTAGAACTCTGGGCTGGGTAGCCTGGTGTGGGTCTGAGATCCCTCACTCCCAAAGTGTACCTCCAATTTTTATTCACTACATGTGGATATGGAACCACCTGTTCCACATTTCCGCTCCTCCTTGGGGCACTCTGTGTCTCTGCGCCTCTCTGTGTGTCTCCATATCTCTACCCCTCCTACCCGTCTGGATGAATGTGGCTTCTTGAAATCCTTGGTTGTCAGACTTCCATATGGCTCAGTTTTCTGACATTTCTGGGTGATATTTGTTTTGTAGTCTAGTTGTAATTTTTGCTCTGATTGTGCAAGGAGGCACAGCATGTTTATCGATGCCTCCATGTTGACCAGAAGTTCCTGGTTAATGTTGTAATCTTAACAATAATTAAATCTTCCAATCCATGAATATAGGGTGTTGTTCTATTTTTTTATGTGTTTTACTTTCTTCCAGCAATGTTTTGTAGTTTTCACTGTACAAGTCTTTGTTTCCTCGGTTAAATTTATTTGTAAATATTTTATTGGTTTTGATGCTATTTTAAATTAAATGTCTTTCTTAGTTTCCTTTTTAAATTGCTCATTGTTAGTGTATAGAAATGCAACCAAATTTTGGATGTTGATCTTGCGTGCTTGCTGAGTTTATTTTTTGTGTGTTAGTAACTTTTTTGGGTGGAATCTTTAGAATCTTCTACATATAAGACCATGTTATCAGCAAACAGGTTATTTTGCTTCTTATTTTCCAATTTTGATGTCTTTTGTTTCTTCTTCTTGCCTAATTTAATTTCAATATTTTGTTGGATAGAAACAGTAGATAATTCTCTTGTCAGCTACACAACCCAGAAATTCTTCTGCAGGTGCATGAATGCTCATGGCACATCTTATAAGAGCACCAAACTGGAAGCAACTCATTGGTAGTGAAACAGTTAAATAAATCATGCGATGGAATTGCCCATTCCAATGAAAATCAATGAAATAGGACACAGGTGGCAAACACAAGGCCCACAAGTCAAATCCAACCCTCCATCTTGTCTCTACCCGGTGGCAGTGGCAAGCTCTGATTTAACTGTTAAGGAGTAGTTACATTCATACAGTCCTAAAATCACATTTGGCCCTTTGAAAGCAATTGCAAGGCTCATGCGGCCCCCGGTGAAAATGAGTTTGACATTCCTGAAATAGGGCTTCTGCATCGATATGGGTGATGTTTTACAAAACAAAAATTGAAGCCATGAAAAATACATACCATATAGTTCTATTGATAGAAGTTCAAAACAGGCAAAACTAAACAATATGTGATTTAAGGATACTTACCATCTCATAATGCCATATACAAAAAGAAACAGTAGTAAATGCAAAATTCAAGAAAATACTTTACCTCTTGGTAGGAAAGAAAGAGGTGGCAGAAGGAGAACAGGCACTTCCAAGATATTGGTAGTATTCCACTTGTGAAGCTGGTGGTGGCAAGTCCATGGATAATATTACATACATCTTACCACTGTGTTGTATAAAGTACCTTTGACTTCATTTGGGGTGACTTTATTAGAACTTTAATAAGTGTTATTGATCTTTTCAGGATTTAATCTCCAAGGTGTCAAGGGCCTGTCAGATCCATAAAACAAATTCTTCTTGGGGTATATTTTAGCCAACTGTTTTTTTTTTAAGATTTTATATATATTTTTAGAGAGAGGTGAAGGGAAGGAGAAAGAGAGGGAGAGAAACATTAGTGTGTGGTTGCCTCTCACATGCCCCCTTTTGGGAACATTGGCTGTTTTTCATGATGAATAAAGGTATAGCTTCATGTGAAGACTGAATTGGCTATTTTGCATTTCAAATGCCTCTTCTCACTCAAACATGCAGGAGAAGCTGTACAGGTCTCATCAGACTAGTCTGTTATGATCTGACAGCAGCCGCCCAAGTGAAGACATGGCTTACCCTCCCTCCCTTGGGCAGCCTGGGCAGACGTTGTTAACCAGAGTCCTGTGATGTTGGATTCTAGGGGCAACACCAAACAGTCAACTCCCGGAGCAGTGGTGCTCTGATGTGGACAAAGAAATGCAACCTAGATTATTTAGCCCTGGACTTCAATTCATCATCACCAGCCCCTGTACAGCAGGTAGGAAGGAGTTTCTTTCTGAGAATTCTCGGGAGATTTTATTTCTGTTTACATTTTTCTGATGATTCAACCATGTATGTCCTCTTTGGAAAGTCTTACACATTCAGACATGTATAGTGAAGAATATTAAAATCAACCCTGATTCTGCCTCCAAAACCTGCTGTATTCCCTCTAGGATGTGTTCTTTAGATGTATAGATATACCTTGTTTTACTGTGCTTTGCTTTATTATGCTCCACAGATGTTGCATTTTAGGCAAGGTCCTCCACCAGCTAAAAAAATATCACCCGCTTTATGTTGATACTCCCTTTATTGCAATGTCCTGGAACTGAACCAGCAATATCTTTAAGGGCCACCTGTATACATACAAATGTATGTAGTATTCATGTCTTTCAAAACTCGGACCATAAAGTTTATAGAGAAATTTCTCTGGCAGAGAAGAGCATGAGGTAAAGGACACTAGAGGCATCAGAAGTGCCTGCTTATGGAGGAAGTCATAGTTTAGTGTGGATAGACTGGGGATTGGTGACAGGAACTCTCAGTTGGAATTGGAACCCCTCAGTAAAAGGCCTCAAAGGCCACATTCAACAATTTCAACTCTCTTGGGTAGTATTATGAAGAATAACATCTATGTTGATGCCTGTGGTGAGGATTAAATGAATTAATACATTTAAGCAACACTAGCCATTAACTAGTGTCACCCACTACACAGTGTAAACCATGGGATGAATGAATGGTAAGCAGTGGACAAGAACTAAATATTTTTGAGTGGTGGATGATCATAATCTAAATTGTGTCTAACAATGTATTGTTTGATGAGAGAAACAACTTGCTGAACAGGATATACAGTATGATTCGTGTGTGTGTATGTAGGGGAAAAAGGTCTGGAAGGCTTCCCTTCCCTTTTGCCAAATGAACTCCCATGTCTCCTTTACCTTTAATTTCATTCCAAAAACCTAAACTGATACTCCAGAAAAGCTGGTCAGAAAGATGAGACCAATAAGTACAAAGGTGTATTAATCAGTTTGGGTAGGTTTTTTAAAAAAATATTTTATTATTTATTTATCTTTAGAGGGGAAGGGGGGAAGGAGAGAGGGAGAGAAACATCAATGTATGGTTGCCTTTTGTGCGTCCCCTGCTGGGAACTGGCCTGCAGGGAACCAGCCTGCAATCCAGGCATGTGCCCTGACTGGGAATCGAACCGTGATACTCTGGTTTACAGGTCTGTGGTTCACAGGTCTGTACTCAATCCACTGAGCTATACCAGCCAGGGCAGTTTTGGTAGGTTAATCAAGACAAACAACCCCCAAATCTCATTGTTTTGCAACAGAGAAGGCAAAAGAAGCAGTTGTTGCTAATGGGGCAGTCCACTGCAGGCTAGCATCTTGAAGTTCTAGGCCATCTTCAATCTAGGGCCCAAGCAAAAGGAGCAGCTCCATCTGAGGCATGCTTGTCTCCTGGAAGGCAAAAAAGAGAGATTGCAGAATCTAAGGATGCCTCTTTTCTCTGTAGGATTGCCATGTGTCACTTCCACTCACATTGTATTCGTCAAAGCAAGTCAAATGGCTAGAGAAAAGTTGAAGGGAGCAGAGGCGAAAAGATATTTATACACATACACCCAAAGTATAATAACTTTTCTACAGTGAATGACCCAGAAAGAAGGGGCAGCAAATACTTAATGACACTATTATGTACCATAGAAGGGCTGCCATTTTCCTGGATTTTTAATTCAGTGTAATGAAATCTTTTTATTCTCCCCCTTCAGAAACTTCTTTCAGAAGAACACAAAGTCGACTATGTCCAAGTGGATGAGCAGAAGACGCAAGCTCTTCAGAGCACAAAGCAGGAGTGGACCGATGAGAGGCAATCCAAAGTGTAAGCGGGGTGGGTTTGGACTGTGTGTGATACAGGGCAACTTGGGGCTGGGTTTAAGGTTTTTATTTTATCCTCACCTGAGGACATTTTGTTTTTCATTTTTTATTGCTTTTAGAGAGAGAGGAAGGGAGAGAGGAAGGGAGAGTGAAACATCGATGCGAAAGAGAAGCATCGATTGGTTGCCTTCCCGTATGCGCCAGACCGGACTGGGGATCAAACCCGCAACCTAGGCATGTGCCCTGACTGAGAATCGAGCCCGCAACCTTTTGGTTATGGGATTGTGCTCCAACCAACTGAGCCACACTGACCAGGGCAAGGGTTTGAGGTTTTTCGCTAGAATCACACTGATGTTCGACACAGGTCAAGATCCAGAGAGAATGTGTAATTTCCATGGGCTCGGCAAGAAACTTTGGGAGAGAGGACCAATTTGTATACATTAAATGGGGAGAAGAAGGACGCAGTGTCCTCCCAGAGGGTTCTCTGAGGGCATCCAGCCCCCACCCCGCCCCCCACCCGTCGCAGAAGTTTCCTTCTCTGGCCACACTTGCCCATGCCCAGAGCCTCAGGGATGCTTAGAATTGGCTCCACAGTCACAAGAGACAGAGATGGAGGATTCCACAGCCACGGACTGGGATGTAGAAAACTCCATTCATTCAGACAGGGTAGGAACAATAAAAACAAGACTTAGAATACTATTCCAAGTTTGGTTAAAAATCTCTCCAATGGAGAATTTGGAGTGCACATTGAAGCCAGTATTGCTAACTGACAGGAAGACATCGTTTGACTCCAATACCTGAAATTGACCTCTCTCCTGTGCTTCCATTGAAATTATAAATTTTCCTAGCAGAGAAGACCCAGGAGGTCATCTTGTCCTAGCACCTGAAGACATGGTTGAAGAGATCAAGACCAGCAATGGTGGGAGAGTCTGCACTCCTTACACCATAGACTCCAGCAGACAAATAGTTTTTATCTCCCAAAGAAAGACAATTCAAGTGATGGGGCAGTGAGTCCTGGGCACTGCGATAACCATATCAAATGAAACCAGTGGCTCTAAGGACATAATGTTTGGAGCAGCTATCTGTGGCTGGGTATTCCATTCCTGTTGGCCTTTTTCCAGCATGTCTTCATGTACATCATACCCTGTCTTCCTCTAAAAGACCTTAGAATCTTGGGTTGGCAGATATTGTTGCTGCCACTTTGAAGAAAAGAAAACTGAGAACCACAGGAGGGCCCACTTTGCCCGAGATCACTCGTGGATCCGAGACACAGAGTCAGGTTTAGAACAGAGCTGGCCAGGCTGCCTGTTGCAGGCTCGTTCCACTGTCTCACCCTGACTCAGGATTTTGAGGAAATCGATCAGTTTGGTCAACCTCGGAGACCTGTGGTGACATGTGCAGACATGAGATGGTTCATCATTTCCTTTCCTTTTCTTAGGAGTTTGAGTAGGTGCTTTTATACTTGAAAGGTATGTGTGTCAAACCAGGGTTTCTTTGCATGGTGTTCAAATGGGAAATTCTGACATAATCAGTAATTACCATCAGAAATAACTTCTAACAATTGGTGTGAAATCCGTTCTTAGATTGCATGGTCAGCTTGCAATGTGTTTCCCATGAGCTCGCTAATGCTGACAAAAGAATTTTTGCCACCTGGGAAGGCACAAATTGTCCCTGCCTATTCCATGCTGGACCCAGGCTTTTCAGTGATAAAGAGTTATGACTAGGAAAAAAACACAAACAAAAAAACCACTGAGTTGAATTCTCAGTTTTTTTTTCCTAAAATAGAAGTTTATCTGACCAAAGTATATTACATTCTTTCAAAAAATATTTTAATTGTTGTTCAAGTATAGTTTTCTATCTTTTACTGCATTCTCAGTTTTCCTGGCTAGTTTTTCCCTCTGCTTTAGGAGGGGGTATTGGGGTTCAGGGGATTCCAGTGAAAGTCTCACTTGGGCGTGTGATTTTACCTGATTTTTCTTCCCAATCCTTCTGAGCTCCTACGGCCTGAAGACAGATCTGAACAACTGGGAGTTAAGCAGTTACTGTTTGAATATTTTGACTGACACTGTGCCCTTTATATGAGGATGAGTTAAACAGGCAGTCAGGTCCATGACAGTCAGGGTTACTCAGGGCAGTTGCAGGCTTTGCTGCATGGTTCGGGGGTTTCAGAGTGCCCCAAAAGTAAGTGAATGCCAAAGTCTTGTTTTTTCAGATTATAAAAGAAGTAATTTTGATGTTACCAGCAGCAGGATCTTGTAACATCATTTTCTTCCCAGAGCAAGGTCGGGGGAAATTACTGAGTCGGGTCCTTAGTGAATGCAGACAGAACAGGAAGAGGGCTCCGCTCAGTCCGTGGCCAGGTCCATGTCGCCACACACACAGGCTGGAGCCTGTAAAGAGCTGCCTTCTTCCCTAAGTGACTTGCAAAGAGTCACAGAGTCCTCAGGCAAGCATGAAGGGCTGCAGATGGGCAGTTCCCATAGATGGTAGCTTCCTCGTATGTGGGGCACCTGTGCTTAGACCACTGACACAGGCCAGTGCAGAAAAATTGCATGCCCAAGTGTCAAGAACCACACCAGATTGAAAATAGAATGAAAAAGAAAATACAGCTGAAATTATGTTTATAGTGAAATGTCATTCAATTGACAAAAGAGAAAATCAGTTTGTATAAAACATTTCCATAGCCACATTTACTGTAGAAAGCAATACATACGCACGTCAGTGGTCTGACTTGTTTGGAAATGATTAATTAGGGATTTAAAAAAAAACGGATGACTTCACCCTCATTTTGAGGGTGTATGCAATTATGTTCTGCTTTGATAAAACTGCTAATGGTAGGCTACTCAAAAGCACTGTGATTCAGGGATACAAAATAACAGGTAGTTTTTCAGCTGATAGGAGCATATGCTTCTGAAAAAGTCACCATGAGTCAAAATGATGCTGGCCAAATCTTGTTTTTTGGTGGGTATAATACATGTGTAACAGGGTCATGATTTTGACCAGGTTCCGAGATTTTTGTTAACCAACCATCCCAGGTTCCATTTCAAGTCAAGTGCGTATGGCGTGCCTGTACACTGTGCAGGCTGCTCCTTCCTAGGAGACTCGAGAATCAACAGAACAGGACAACGCAGCAATTAATTCCACATTGTTTTCTGCAAGTTCCTGTTTGTTTTGTTTCTTTCCATCTTGTTTTGTTAGGAAATACCTCCACTTCAGGAGTTGTGCAGTACAAAAGGGGGTACTGAGGGTCTCAAGCCTACAAGTGCCTAAGGCCACAAGGCCACAAGAACTTGGGGAGTTTACTTTCTCTTGAGAAAGGATGTGCCCTGAGGCCCAGCAAATGGCTGAGCTGCAAGGGCATGGAGTGAGCCAGTGGGAGTCAGTATCCAGACCACACTACGCTGTGGAGCCAGGATCGACTGAGGTTTGGCCTTTAGGTTCAAGCTCAGACGGAAGGCTCCCCGCAGACCTGGCTATCTCCGCAAGGCTTCCACAGTCCCCATTTATAACATCTTTGTACCCACAATCATGCTGATTTTAAAAGTTTGTTGTGTTTTTACTATTTTATTTCTAGCATTAATAAAAGTTTTGTAAGGAGGAATCATGACTTAAGTTCCTTATTTGTTTTTAGTGATGACATTCAATATAAATACAGAACATGTTTTGAAAGTTGAGTATGTGAAAATAAACCTCATTGCCATTTTCAGTTACAACAGAGTTAACAACTGACTCACGTGGAATGACCTACATCCATGTAATTTCACTGCAAACAATTGAGCAGGTGGTTGTAATGAGTACTGCTTCTGCTCAGCCAGACCACATCTTGCCATCTTTTTTCTTCATCAGAAACAAACTGCAATGATTGGCAATAAAGTCAAAGGCCTTCCCTGATACCACATGTAACATGAAATCCATCACTAGTGACATTAAAAAGCAAGAACCCCTAGCCTTCATCTCCCCAGCAGTGTTTTCTTATGCCACCAACTCCCTTTTCTCCATGTCTGAAGATCCCAGCTGCCCTGGCTGCTGCTGGATTAGCGGCATCTCTAGGCCGTAAGGCAAAGCAGGGACAGCCAGAGTAGTGGGGGCTCAGGTTTAGGGAAAACACACCAAAGGCAGAGAGAAGACAAGCCCAGGAAATCCTGGGTCCCAGAGAAAGAAGAAACCACATGAAATTTCTCATCTAGGTGAAGTGTGAGGCCAACCAATATAGATGCTTTTACTTGGCGTACACACTCCAGACCAGGCCCCTGACCCCAAGAAGAGCAGGTTGGCCCAAAAGGCTGACCTGAAAACCAGGGGGTGTGAAACATAACCTTTTAAAAAAATGTTTTAATATGCATTTTGTTTACTTATTTTTACAGAAAAGGGAAGGGAGGGAGAATGAGAGGGAGATACAAATTAATGTATGGTTGCCTCATACGCCCCCTACTGGGGACCTGGCCCACACCCCAGGCATGTGCCCTGACTGGGGAATCAAACTGGTGACCTGGTTTGCCAGGGCAGTGCTCAATCTAATGAGCCACTCCAGCCAGGACTAATTGTGCCATTGTTCTAGAAATGAATTTTTATTTTCTGCAACAGAGAGTGTGATGTTGGTGCAGGCTGCACTAAGGGTTCCAATGGGGGAGAGAGCAAATCTGAAGTGCAGAACCCCACATGCACAGGCATTCTGTTCATGATAAGGAACACCGAAAAGCCTCAGGGACACAATGACCTTTCCAATCAGGGGCGCAGGGTTATTTGGTGGAAACCCAAGTGGACAATAATGAGCCTTGATCCCACTCAGTCACCATGCACAAATGTCAGTTCCAGGTGGACCGGAATGGGGAAGGGAGAGCAATCACTTTGACATGGTCCCCCTGCTTTATCAGATCCATTTTCCTTCTATCAACCCTTGTTATTTTCATCTGTTTCATAGTCCAAACCTCTATTTTAACGAGTTTGAGTGTTTGCCTTTATGTAAAAGAATACAACCTAAGTGTTTTATGTCTGTCTTGAGAT